GCAGGGCTGACTGATTTCTCCTCGTCTGTTCGGCTCTGCAGCTCCTCAGCTCTCGCTCGTCTGCAGCTAGTCCTGTTTTAGTTAAATAGTTGTTTATTTAGTTTGTTGGCTAGTTAGTTTGTTAGCTAGCTAGTCAGGGGTTTGATGAGGACTCGGATCGGGCTGTGTGTCTCAGTCTGCTTCAGCAGGGAAGATGAGCGGAGATTCAGACGTTCCTCAAGATCTGCGCGGTAAGACACTTCACTTCACTACTAAGTTCACTTCACTACTAAGTTCACTTCACTTGACTAAGTTCACTTTACTTAACTTCACTTCACTACTAAGTTCACTTCACTTGACTAAGTTCACTTTACTTAACTTCACTTCACTACTAAGTTCACTTCACTTCACTTGACTAGGTTCACTTCACTTTTGTGTTTACATTCAGTGTGGACGGACATAAACTAGTTTTTGTGCACTGCAAATGTGTTTCAATGCTTAAATCATGTTTGAGTTCAATACAGACGCTAATAACACTAGTACTAATACTAATAATTAACAAATGTAACCTATGGGAGGGTCCAATTCAGACTCCGCCCACATACTCTAAAAAACATCTATAGGAAAATAGGCTACTCATTTGACAATACTAGTGTTTTTGAAGCATACTTTAGTCGATTAACATTTCACAGTAAGTTTGCATCCCTGTATTTACATGTGTGCAGTGTCTGATAACTTCATGGAATGCATTGTACATCCACAATAACATACTGTATATATATATATATATATATATATATATATATATATATATATATATATATATATATATATATATATATACACCACACAGAACTGTTGCGTATACAGTATAATACTGTGGCAAAACAACATGTACAGTACTATACTGTTTTACTGTTGAAGTAAACAGTGTTATACTGGGAAAACAACAGAAATTCTTTACAGTGTCATCAGTTATGGTAACATTAAAACTAGTGTTATTAAAGCATACTATAGTAAAGTGTATTATTCTGTATATTATAGTGGTTATGTTAATCAGTGCTCCAGTATTCTGTAGCAATGATTCACAAAGAGTTATAAACACTATAATATATACAGTATAATGCACTTTACTATAGTATGCTTTAATAGCATTAGTTTTTACTGTAAATTACCATAGTAGTTTTTATATATCAGTATATTAGGTCGTTTTCTAAAATACTCATGAAGTCTTGTTTCTTATAATTGATTGGAACTAAATAATTTTTTGAAATATAATTATCTAACAGTTACTTTACTCACATTCAGTGAGTTTTCTACTGTTGCACAGAAAATATATTTAATTTTAAAGAATGTTGGGAACTTGAGGGCAGAATATAAATCCTAAAATATAAACTCTTAGTGTTCAGCCCTGAATAAGTCTGAAATTTAAGTCTGCATACGACTTAAAGAGGCTGTTTTTGTCCTGCATTGTGTTTCCAACATTCCACGCTTAAGAAAGGTAAGTGCAGATTAAGTGCATGAATTGGGACACACCTCTGGTTTAATCAGTGACTGTAGATCAATAACTAGTAAGACTACAAACAATAAAACTCAAGCAGTGGGTTTATGACTATAATAACTAATGAAAGGCACAGTTCACCCCCTAAAAAAGATCCTCATTTCCTCATGTTGTTCCAAACCCGTTTCTTTCTTCTGGTGAACACAAAGGAGGATATTCAGAAAAACAGACATTGACTTGCTTCATGTTTTTATTCCTACAATGGTGTAAAAGGCTGATTTTATCCAATATCCGACCTGTTAGAGTGGATGTGAACTCACAATTCCCAGAAATAATGTTAGAACTGTGTGAAATAAACTCAAAACTGTGAGAAAAACACAAAATTCTAATAAAAACCCCAAAAACGTGACAGTCTGGAAAACGCAAATAAAAAAGAAAGTAGTGATTTCTGAATGCACTTTGACTAGTATATCATTGCAGACTATACATGTTCCTCAGGTTTTTTAAAATAATTGTATTGCAATTTTGGATCTTGTGACTCATTTCAGAAAAGTTGGAGCAGTAAAGCTTTTACCACTTTGTAATGTTGCCGTTCCTTTTCAGACGAGTGTTTCAGGTGTAAGTCGTACGGTGGGCAACAGTACAGGGTCTTCATTGTCACATTTTGCAGTTCAAACTGCGCCACACATTCTCTATTGGAGACAGGTCAGGACTGCAGGCAGGCCAGTTGTATTTTAGGGTTGTATATTGCGTGAGATAAAGTCAGACCTGTGAGATATAACTGATCTAATATTCTGACTTTTATTCTGCTTTGAGTTAAAAATAAGATGGAGAAGTGTCATGAACACACTCTTCATTCACACATTTACCAACACTTTAAATATAAATCTGTTTTTCTCACTCTGTTGTGTGTGTGTGTGTGTGTGTGTGTGTGTAGAGAGCGTTCAGGATGCCGTCGGGCTGCAGCTGAAGGTGTGTTTCCTCAAAAAGGTGAACTTGGAGGTCAAAGGTGACAAACTGGAGAGCAGAGTCCTGGTGAGATCAAATTCTGTCACAAATCTGCACATAATCCTGAACATCCACTACACACACTCTGGGCAAACCATGTTCTTGTTGTAATCAGCGTGTGTGTTTCTCTGTCTTCACACACAGAGTCACAGCGAGAGTTTGAGCAGCTCATAGAAACTAAAGTAAAACCCCAGTATCAGTTCCTTTGTATTATTGACACGTCTTGTGTGTGTTTACACTTAATATTTCCTCATTTGTAAGTCGCTTTGGACAAAAGTGTCAGCTGTAAATGTAAATGAGCGAGCGGCTCGCCATTCTGAATTTCAGCTGTGGAATTTACACATACCTTACTCTCGCAGTCCTGTTCTGACTTGACTGAGCGCTGATCCTCAGGACATGAAAACCACACACACACACACACACACACACACACACACACACACACACACACACACACACACACACACACACACACACACACACACACACACACACACAGACACATTGCTGATCCTCAGGACATGAAAAGCAGCACACACACACACACACACACACACACTTGTACAGCTCTCTTTATGTCTTTCCCCACAGCTGTAATGATGTTTCTACTGTATATTCTCTTCCCCTAAAGCCTGTCCTCACAGGGAACAATCTGTACTTTAACATTTTTAAAATGCCTTTTCCTTATGGGGACCAAATAAACCAACACACATGTTCAAAAGTAACTGGTATTGCTATACCTGTGGGGACATTTGGTATGCAAGTTACACAAACACTGTACATTCCAGGAGCCTCCACAAGATCTTGCAGGATATTGTCAGCTGTTAGTCATGATGTTTGCCTGATAACTGCGTGTGTTTTAGGTTTGTGTGTCTTATTCGTCTGATGGAGTTCAGTGTCTGCTCTTCAGTCGTGACGGATCCTCATTTCGCTCTCTACATTGGATTAAATTAGAGAAGCTTTATGTATAAGGCTAATTAATAATTATATAATTACTGAAAAGTCAAATGATGGCAGGCATTGATTAATTCAGTCTTGAATCTAGCTCAGTCGATCAAAAGGAGAATTATCGATGAACGCTGGAAGCTGCTAATCAGTTATGTGAGAGATGATTAAAGTAACATGACTTTTATCAGCGATTACCCTCACCACTGTGATTGGCTTATTGTGACGTCAATGCCTGTGAACGCCTTGAGGGAATTCAAATTAACACAGAATGAATCAAACAGGCAAAATTAACTAATTTATCAGACATTACACAGCGCAGATACTCATATATCAGCACATACTAGTGAAAATCACCTTAAATGAGTTTATAGAGCACTCGCTCTGCTGTAATCATCAGTTCACCTCAGTGTCTGTGAGAATCATGAAGAGTTTAACGCTACTGTTTATCATAAACGATATCAAAACATGGCGAATACATCAGTGATAAACACTCAAGAACACAGTATATGTCAGTTTATAATTAGTGCTGAAGCAATGTATAGGAAACACACAGAGTTAGCAGCAACACAGTACTTATTTAACATTAAAGAGCCCCTATTATGCATTATAAAGGTCAGATTTTGGTTTTGAGGGTCTCCAACAACAGGCTGATCCGCATGCAGAGTCAAAAAAAACTTTTTCTTTGTCTTATAATCTGCATTTATTTTTACCTGATTATCCCAGCAACTCCCCCGTTCACATTTTACCAGATCTGGAACTACATATTTGGTGATGTACCAACACCAACGCGTTCAACCAAAAGAACCGAACACAACTCGATTCATTTATTCGACTCTGAGTCGACTGTTTCATTAAAGAATCAGTAGTTTTAAACACGGTGCACTTTCAGATTTACCCTCAGCTGGATGTGTTTGTTCACTCAGTGCTGTTACACTCTGCATGGCAGGTCGGTTTCAAAACCCATAATAGATGCTCTTTAATAACGTAAAGCTAACATTAAAACAATATTGGTGCTCACTGAACTGAACTGAACTGAACTAAAGCTCTGACAACTGAACTACACTGTTTTAATTCACTATAATCTTGTATGTGAAGCTGCTTTGATAAAGGTGAAGTGAGTTGAATTAGTTCATTGTTCATAATGTAGGATAACACAAAATCCCACTTTCCATTCCTCAGTGCAACTCAAAATATGAGTGAAACTGAAATATGAGCTTACAAAAAGGGAAACGATGCAAAGCTTTTGGATTCTTTGAATCAACTGAATCAAATTCTTCAGGAAGTGAATTGATTGATGTAGGATAGTTCAGTCAGAACACTGTAAATGAAGCAAAACTCAGTGTAAACTTGCAGAAAGCATCAGCTGCACACACACATACTGAAAGAACAGTGTGATTATGTGCTATTTTATTATTAAAGAGTTCTATTAAATAGAGCATGGCGAATAATCTTCCTCAGTAAACAAACAGAGTATGCAGTCATAATACACACGTCAGGATTATTCCATCAGACCCACTGAAAGACTAAACATTCTTACCCAAAATTCATTATTTTATGATGATAAGTGGGGCGTCACGGTGGCGCAGTGGGTAGCATGATTACCTCACAGCACTCAGATCTCTGGTTTGAGTCCCGGCTGGGTCAGTGCGTGTTTCTGTGTGGAGTTTGCATGTTCTCCCCGTGTTGGCTTGGGTTTCCTCCGGGTGCTCCGGTTTCTCCCACAGTCCAAACACATGCGCTATAGGGGAACTGATCAACTACACTGGCCGTAGTGTATGAGTGTGTGTGTGAATGAGTGTGTATGGGTGTTTCCCAGTACTGGGTTGCTGCTGGAAGGGCATCCGCTGCATAAAACATATGCTGGATAAGTTGGCGGTTCATTCCGCTGTGGTGACCCCTGATAAATAAAGGGACTAAGCTGAAAAGAAAATGACTGAATGATGTATTGCTGGATTGAACCGCATGTTATGACATTACAGCATGCTGTTGGTGGAATTCATTATTGGATTATTAATATGGATATAATGTGTTAAACAAACATGACTTGAAGGAGTGTGTGCATTAATCAGTGTTCATATGAATATTAGAAAACGCTTGAAAATGCTTTAAAATGCTTGAAAATGGAAATGTGCTGTCATCATTGATCTTTCAAAATATTTAACAATTTAAACCAAATTTTAAAAATCCTAATAAAGAGAGAAAATTGCAGTAATTTGATGTTTGACTTGGAGTAATTATGCCATGAAGTGTGTTTCTTAGAATACTAATAATACTTTACTGTAGTGTATACTGTATACTGTGCTGTAGAATACTATAAGAAGGAGCGTCTGATATAATGTGATCAGGTGTGTGTGTAAATATGTCATTTGCCAACCTTGTAAAGTGCTGTAATGGTTGAAGATGTACCTGGAAATGGCTGAAATTAATTTTAGAAAAGGTGAAGAACACTGATGAACACTGATGAACACTGATGAACTCTGATGAACACTGATGAACTCTGATGAACACTGATGAACACTGATGAACACTGATGAACACTGATGAACACTGATGAACACTGATGAACACTGATGAACACTGATGAACTCTGATGAACACTGATGAACTCTGATGAACACTGATGAACACTGATGAACACTGATGAACACTGATGAACACTGAAGAACTCTGATGAACACTGATGAACACTGATGAACACTGATGAACACTGATGAACTCTGATGAACACTGATGAACACTGATGAACACTGATGAACACTGAAGAACTCTGATGAACACTGATGAACACTGATGAACACTGATGAACTCTGATGAACTCTGATGAACACTGATGAACACTGATGAACTCTGATGAACTCTGATGAACTCTGATGAACACTGATGAACACTGATGAACTCTGATGAACTCTGATGAACACTGATGAACACTGATGAACTCTGATGAACACTGATGAACACTGATGAACACTGATGAACACTGATGAACTCTGATGAACTCTGATGAACACTGATGAACACTGATGAACTCTGATGAACTCTGATGAACACTGATGAACACTGATGAACACTGATGAACTCTGATGAACACTGATGAACACTGATGAACACTGAACTCGACTGTTGTTGTTGTTTTTACGTTATTAATTGTTTTGCTTTCACTGTTGTTCTGCTCTAATTGTTCTCCGGCTCCTCCACAGGCTCTCGCTCCTCACCGAGTGTTTCTGCTGAGCACACGAGTCCCTGCTAAAGTGAGTGAGTGTGTGTGTGTGTGTGTGTGTGTGTGTGTGTATGTGTGTGTGTGATGATGACATGTTCTGGCCTGCTGATTCACTGAGATTCTCTCCAGTGTTTTCTGTGGTGAATGTGTCTCAGCGCTCTGTGTTCTGTTGTCCAGGTGGATCAGTCCTTCAGTGTGTTTGACATCCAGAGCATCAGCAGCATCAGACAGAAGCAGGTGAACACACACACACACACACACACACGGAGCACTCTGACTGAACACATACTCATGCACACTCACACAAACACACATAGAGCAATCTGAATACACACTCATGCACAAACACACAGAGAGCAGACTGACTGATCTCATACATGCACACACACAAACACACACACAAAAACACAAACACACAAACACACACACAATCTGATCACACACTCGTACACAGACAAACTCAGAGAGAGCAAATTGACTAATCACAGACTTGTGTGCACACAAACAAACACACACTCTCGATATTTTCATGATATGCCTGTGTGTGTGTGTGTGTGCGTGTGTGTGTGTGTGTGTGTGCGTGTGCGTGTGCGTGTGCGTGTGCGTGTGTGTGTGTGTGTTTCAGGAGGGTGATAAAGAAGCTTGGGTTAAAGCCGGTGGAGAGAGTCACCAGTTTACAGACACTATGGGAAACTTACACTCCAGCAGAAGCAGGACCCTGCGGTACACACACACACACACACACACACACACACACACACACACACACTTGTGCATGCATAAAAACACATTCTGACACACACGCACACACATATACACACCCAGACATACACAAGACAGCACACAGACACACATAAATGCACTCCGACACGCAGACACACATGCGCAAAAGCAAACTCACACACAAATACACACACACACACACACACACACACACACACACATGTTTAAAGAAGTGCTGTTGTAACATAGAGTGTGTGTGTGTGCGCAGGTGGCTTCTCTCGTCTGTACTGGTGTGTGTGTGATCAGATGAACATGCCCTACAGAGAGGAGGTGCAGTGGGTCAGTAGCGCTCGTGTGTGTTCCTATCTGTCCTAGTGTGTGTGTGTGTGTGTGTGTGTGTGTGTGTGTGTATGTGTGTGTGTGTGTGTTTCACCGCTGTGTGTTTGTGTTTGAAGGACGTGGACACCATCTATCTGTCTCAGGACACCAAAGAGCTCTGCCTGCAGGACTTCATACACCTGGACAACAGGTCACACACACACAACATACACACACACAACATACACATGTACAGACAGACACATACAGACGCACACAAACCTGGATTATTATTGTATGTGATGTATTTGGATTGTGTGTGTGTGTGTGTGTGTGTGTGTGTGTGTGTGTGTGTGTGTGTGTGTGTGTGTGTGTGTGTTCAGGGATCTGCTGGCCATCACTGCTGCGCTCGAGTTCAACCAGTGGTTCATCAAACTCTCCATAAAGGACTTTAAACTGGTGAGTGTGTGTGTGTGTGTGTGTG